TTAATTTTTTTTGAGTGTAGAACTGGCTTTACATCCAGTACTTGTCAGGGTTTATTTATGAAACTTGTTCGCCCGCTCAATGTTATGTAATTTTTTACGAGTCTGGTTGGTTCAAAAAGCTCAGGTTCTTTGTGATCAAATTACTGCTTTCTTTAATGGAAATTATAGTTCCAGATAGACTCGAGGAGTCTAAAGATGAGGAAATAATTGTAACGTCTGTCCTAAGTCTCTTGGATTTCCGTGTCATTTCGCTGCGGTCCCTGCGTGTGCCACGAAGTGTAATCAAATTTTTTTGTTTATTTTGTCACTTTGGAGGTTTGTCTGTCTGTCTGTTGAAGTCTTGTAAAAGAAATCTCCGTGAAATCAGATGTCGTTGTAAAATGTCGACGAAAAATTTTCCTAGAACATCTTTTCGAAGTTTGCAAAGTGAGTTCGCATCTAAGGTCCGCACCTAGTTCTCTAAAAAAAATTACTGAAAAGTCTTGACAAGTGTTTTGGTTCAGTTAGAAAAGTTTTTCGTTTTTGTCAAGTTAGAGTCATTTGACTACAAACCCACAAACGCCTTTCTGTAAATTTTCTGAATTGACAAAAGACCCAGTAAGTTATTTCATCTCATACGAAGTGTATCCTAAAAACAGAAAAAATACACAAATTAAAAGTTTAATTTGTGCTGTAATACACATTATTTCAATATTTTTTTACATTTTTATTTTAAGTATTTACTCGTATACATATGAAGGTAAATAAATATATATATATATATATCGCATGATGTACTATTGTTAGATGTGCCAAGAGCAAGGACTGTCTTAGGTAAGACAGCTTTTATGTGCGCAGCTCCACTTGCTTGGAACAATCTTCAGCTAGAATTGAAACTGAGTAATCTCATTCCTCTGCATGTTTTTAAAGCTAGGCTAAATGAAATGCTCTTTGATACTATGGGCACTTGTAAATGTCTATAACTATGTAAATGTGCTGTAAATATAATGTATGATGTCCTTTATTGTTTTATGTTTCATTTGGAACCTATATGCTGCAGGTCTCCCTTGAGAAAGATCTATGATCTCCATGGGACCAATCTCGTTAAATAAAGGTTTGAAATGAAATGAAGTATAAGAAAATTAAACTAAAATATTATTTATTTGGATTTATTGTCATTTCGTTTTTAATATTTATTTGCACATTGCGTCTTCATCTATCTTAATTTTTTTTCGCAGCTTTTGTCCTCCATACTCATTAAGGTCGACTCTAGTCTAGATGCTGTTTATATTCTGGCAGGTAACATCGCTCAAAACCAGACTTTTATTCTGAAGTGGCAAACCATTGTCCTTTAGGCTTTTATTTTTGAAACACCCCCTCCCTGAGTGGTCAGCTGTTGAGGTTAGATTGTGTTTGGAGGCGGGATGCAGCTCAGTGTGTTTGTGACTGCAAACTGGTTAGCACACCGAACTCACGTTTGTAACTTTTTCTCTTTAATATTTCTTTCGTAAAACCTCCATCATGGACCTGGACCCGGCCGTCATCATCCCCGCACTCCTTTTCACTGCAGTCGCCATTTATTTCGCTTCATCGTATCTGAACAAGAAGCCCGACGCCTCCGCAGCCGCTAAGAAGAAGCCCAAAGTCGGCTACGGAGACGACATCCCTCCGTCCAGAGCCCTGGGACAACCGACCAGATCCGAGCCTGCTCCGGTCAAAGTGAAGGTAAGATGGTTTCACTCTTTTGGTGTTTAAAATAACCAATCATGACATGTTTAAAGTTAACAGAAACTTGCATTTTCTTCCATAAAAAATATTATTGTATCGATTTTTTTTCTTAAAAAACGTTATTCATCCAGACATTTTTGCAAAGTATACATATCAAGTAAAATATAGGCTTGGAAACAAGTACAAATTGAAATAAAAAAAAAGAAGCATTTTTATATTTTTTTATAAATAAATATAAATGTATTTGCTATACATAACAATGGGGGATGACCTTTCCATAACTTAAATGTTTTGCTGACTATACATACAGGTAAACTATAATAACATAATATTTTTAACATAACTGTTTTTTAACATACATTAGATAAAAAAACAGGCCTATAGCTAGAAATTAGTGATATATTTGAATGTACAAAAAAAGGAAATTGACATTACAAAAGGTAAATTCCTTACTTTTTGATGACTTGGAGTAGAAATGCAAATGAGTATGCATTGGCATTGGAGAGGAATTCAGCATTTTGGTTGAACTCAAATAAATTAACTGATCAATCTGTATTTGGAAAATTGTGTTAACAATACTCAGCTATGATGTTTCAATAAAGAAAGAAATGTTACATTAAGCCTTAGTTTTCATATGATTGTGCAGGTTCATCAAATCAATTGTTAAGTTACCGTTTAACTTAAAGAGCATCTTGCAGGGTTTTTTTTTTTCTACATTTATGCTTAAACTTGCTTGAAAATTACAATTTAAAAAAGTGAATGTAGGATTTGATATGTTTTACGAGACATAAGGGCAGGAATTCAGAGGGAAAGGAGCAATTTTGAGCTCTGGGGCCTCATTTATAATGCCGTGCGTAGGATTCACGTGGGAAGGTTGCTTACGTAGTAGAAATCAAAAAAATAGGTACAGAAATGTTCCGATTCACCAAACATTACGTACCGGCGAGGAAAGTGCGTACGGCACTTCCTACGCCGGTTTCTTTTTATAAATCACAATCGACAAGAAATGCGGTGCAGCTTTTGCGGGCTTCACGTAACGCCTATATTTGCCTATACATAGTCAAAGAAACGCCCATTCATTCATTCATTTTTACTGACTGCATGAAGAAGATCGCAGGAAATGACGACAGAACAGCTAAAAAAGACATCTCACACCCTGTCAGATTTTGGCTATTTTGGGGAGGTCGAGATAAATCATATTGTTTGGTGGATGCAGTTTGAACCAGAGTAGCAGCATGGAGGTCGGATCGTCACCAAAATAAATAAATAAGTGGTCCGAAAAAGGTTCATGACAAAAGAAATACACATAGCCTTCCTCAGGCAGTG